GGAGCTACTGGTGCTGCTGGTGCTGGAGGTACTGGAGGTGCTGCTGGAAATGGAGGTGCTGTAGGTACTATTGGAGGTGCTGGAGGTGCTGCTGGGAGTACTGGAGGAGCTGCTCGTGCTGGAGGTACGGGAGCTGCTGGTGCTCTTTGCCACCTTCTCAGTCTTCTGCCAGGTGCTACTGACTTCCCTGTGGCAGGTACTACTCCTCCGTTACTGTTTCCACCGGCAGACCAGTCACAGCCGCAGCTGCTACCGCACTCCCCACTGCTCGGTCCTGCTCCTTACACTGCGGTGACACAGTCCCTGACTGAGCGTCGAGAGCCTGAGACTCGTGCTTCCACCCCTGAGCGTCGAGAGCCTGAGTCCAGCTTTGACCTTGAGCCCGAGCATAGAGCTGCTGTTCGTGCTCGTGTTCCTCGTGTTCGTCGTCAGCGTGCTCCGGCTGTCCCAGGCACTCACGATATGACACTCCGTCCTTCCTCTGTTCCACATCGTGTTGTCCTGCCGATACCTCCTGCGTCCTCTCTTCCTGACGTTGCTGACCCTCCGTCTGACCTTCCTCGTGCGTCCAGTCCGACGGTTACTCGCTTTCTTGCTACGGTGGTGACTGACCCTTCATTCTCGTCTCCTGCTGCGTCTGTCGTAGTCGCTGAGCTCGTTGACTTTGCTGCTGTGTACCACCTAGACTACCTTGCGAGTCTTGTTTCTGACCCTGTCCCTGCCTGTCCTCGTCCGTCGGGGGTGAGACTGCCCTTGGCTGTACTTCCCTTGGCTGTGACGTTCTTGAGGACAGGCAGGAGGAGATGGAGTGCCTTGCGGCCGCTGTACCTCATCTCGCTACCATGCTGCTTGCCCCTGAAGGAGACCCGGATGCACTTGACATCCCCACCCCGCGCTCTTACAGAGAGGCGATTTCGGGTGAGTACTCCTCTCAGTGGCAGACAGCCATGGACGCAGAGATGGCTTCTTGGAAGTCCACAGGCACCTACGATGACGAGGTTCCCCCACCTGGGGCGAACATCGTCAGTGGCATGTGGATTTTCAGGGTGAAGCGGCCGCCGGGTTCTCCGCCTGCCTTCAAGGCACGTTACGTTGCTCGAGGCTTCAGTCAGCGTGCGGGGGTCGACTTCTTTCAGACCTTCTCCCCCACCCCGAAGATGACCACTCTTCGGGTGTTGCTACACGTTGCAGCTCAGTGTGACTACGAGCTGCACTCCCTCGACTTCTCGACAGCTTTCTTGCAGGGTAGCCTTCACGAGGCCATCTGGAGCCTACGGCGACCAGTGTACGGCCTGCGTCAGGCGCCCCGCGAGTGGCACGACACACTGAGGACTACACTTGCGGCTCTTGGGTTTGCTCCTTCGACTGCTGACCCGTCGCTGTTTCTACGCACCGACACTACTCTGCCGGCGTTCTACGTCCTCGTGTACGTCGACGACTTGGTTTTTGCTACTGCTGACACTGAGGCACTGGCCCTAGTGAAGGCGGAGCTGCAGGAGAGACACACCTGCACTGACCTGGGTGAGCTGCGGAGCTATCTTGGCTTGCAGATCACCCGGGACAGAGCACGGCGCACCATCACCCTCACTCAGTCACACATGGTGCACCAGGTCCTTCAGCGCTTCGGCTTCACGTGGTCCTCGCCACAGCCCACTCCTCTGTCTACAGGCCACTCGCTCTCAGCTCCACCTTCGGACGAGTCCGTAGAGCCGAGTGGTCCGTACCCAGAGCTTGTGGGCTGCCTCATGTACCTGATGACGTGCACACGACCTGACCTCGCGTACCCTCTCAGCCTCCTGGCTCGCTACGTGGCACCAGGTGGACACCGAAAGGTGCACTTTGATGCTGCGAAGAGGGTACTGCGTTACTTGTTACATCGGGCATGGGGCTCGTGCTTGGAGGACGGGGTTCAGTGGTACTCACAGGACACTCTGACGCTTCTTGGGCCGACGACCAGGCGACTTAGCGTTCGTCACAGGGTTACACCTTCAGTCTTGGCTCTGGTTCTGTCTCGTGGAGGTCCACTCGTTCTTCTTCTGTGCTTGGTTCCAGCTGTGAGGCCGAGATCTACGCTGGGGCCATGGCTGCACAGGAGCTTCGCTGGCTGACCTACCTGCTGACCGACTTGGGGGAGCGGCCTCGTTCTCCTCCAGTTCTGTACGTAGACAACAAGGCAATGCTTGCCTTGTGTCGCGAGCAGAGAATTGAGCACAGAACGAAGCACATTGCTCTTCGCTACTTCCTTGCGCGCGTGGTCAGCTGCGCCTTGCTTACGTGGCCTCTCGGGCCAACACTGCTGATGTCTTCACCAAGGCCATTGGGTCTGGTGATCATCAGCGTTTCTGCACTGCTCTTGGGCTTGTGCCCACTCTGCCTCACCTGCTGGTTGCTTGACTTGCTCTTGTGGTACACTGATATATATATCTTTATACCTGCTTCTTTACTCTTGCTAGGTTGTGATCAGTGTACTGCCTTGCTATTATAATTCTGCATGTGAACTGGCCTTGTGGCCGCTTGCTTGTGCTCAGATTGTATGGTGTCCTTGAGATCCACCCTGAGCTTTGCTTTGCTTGTTCTCTTGCTTGACTGGTCTTGTGACCGTCTGTTGTGTTTGCTATCTCCCACTTAGCCTATGGGGGTGTGTCAAACTATATGTTTTTGTTCTCTCTAGGCTATAGTGGGTTAGCCTACAAGGGGTACATGTCAGAATGTGATGTTTGTGTAGCCTGCAGTGGGGTACTCAGTAGCGAGTACAGCCCGAATTAGGGTTTGCTATATGTACTCAACTGCATGCTAGTGAAAACCTCTTTTTCCTGTTTCTCGTTTTCGCCTGCTGTTTCGACATGCTATCAGAGCAGGTCGACCCTCTTGGGTCGATCCTGTGGGTGGTCCCGCCCAATGCTTCCGCTGCGGTTTCCTGCTGTCCCCTGCCTGCCGCGCGCTCCGGGCGCGCGGCGATTTTTCATCCCGCCGCGCGCCCTGCCCCGTCGAACCGCGCGTCGCCCCCCGTCGCCCGTTGCGGAGCCCCCGGGGACCCGCGTGTCGCCCCCCGTCGTCCGACGCGGCCCGCGCGACCTGCGCCAGGCCCGCGCGCGGCCCGTACGGCCTGCGCCAGGCCCGCGCGCGGCCCGTACGGGCCGCGCGCGGCCCGTACGGCCTGCGCCAGGCCCGCGCGCGGCCCGCACAGCCCACGCGCGGCCCGTACGGCCTGCGCCAGGCCCGCGCGCGGCCCGTACGGGCTGCGCCAGGCCCGCGCGCGGCCCAGGCAGCCCGCGCGCGGTTCGTCCCCCGAGCTTCTGGCCGCGCCCCACCCCCGCTGCTGCCCGCGCTCCTGTGTTAGGGTTTCGAGGTGGAGAGTATGGGGGTGACAGGTGTGTGCGGCCTTCCCTGCTCCTCCTCCTCCTCCGTCTCCCGCTGGGGGGTGGATGTGTGGGAGCCGTTGGAGTGGTACGAGGGGGGTGGCGTGTGAGGAGTGCTAGGGGCACAGTAGGGAGTGTGTGAAAGGGGTGTGGGACAGTTGGGGGAGGTTGACAGGAGGTGGCCGTTGTGACGTCTGCAGCGCCAGTAGTCCGGGGGTTGAGTACTCCGGTAGCCCAGCGAGCCTGCTGCTGCCAGTCGCCCGTGGGTTTGTTGCTCCTGCTGCTGCTTAGCGCGGAACCAGTTACTCCTGTAGTCCGGAGGTTGAGTGCTCCGGTAGCCACCGTGCGCGCCGTTCCTGTTGCCCGTGTGTCTGCGGCTTCACCCGTCGCCTTCTATCTTCACTCCTCTCACAGTCTCTCCTCCTCCTCACTTGCCCTCTGTGACTGCCTCTAGCTTTGCTTATCATTGTGAACTATTGCTATATGACTGCTTGTTGTGTTGATTGTACCCCACTTTGACTATGGGGGTGTGTCAGAATGTGATGTTTGTGTAGCCTGCAGTGGGGTACTCTGTAGCGAGTACAGCCCGAATTAGGGTTTGCTATATGTACTCAACTGCATGCTAGTGAAAACCTCTTTTTCCTGTTTCGCGTTTTCGCCTGCTGTTTCGACAGTACAACACTTTAGGGTTAGTACTTGTACCCAATTCATTCATAGTTCATTCATTCCTGCACAGTGATTCTGACAACTTCCGCTGTCTTAACTCATTTTGGCAAGCATTATCCTGTCTACTACGATTCCTCAGTTACATCAACAAATTTTATTAATTGTTAGAAGACTAGCACTGTGGATGCCCGATTGATCCTAGGGGAGGGTTACAGGCTCGCTAGCCTGGAGGGTTATGGGCGCACTGACCCGCTACTTAATAAGTCATTTTATCACAGTGGTCTAGTGGCTGGGCTGGGATTCTGACATTAATTAACACAGGACCAACCGCTTTACAACTCACCGCGTGAATCATTCCTCTGCCACCTACTCAAGAAAATCAAGGCAAGATAGGAAAGTAGCTCTGAAACCAAGCGTTATTAGTTATCAAACAGAGTGCGCAGAATGAACGAATAACGAGTCAGTGACTAATTAATTTATGATACTATGAAGGTCCCAGTACAATATACTGTAGCAAAAATCCTTGCTAGACGAGAACCTCGGGTTGGATAAGGGTTAGGTATAAGGAAGCCCGAAGTCGACAAAAGGCATCCTCGGAGTCTAGAATATTGGCTGGGCCTTCACTGATTTCAGATTGTACGTGATAAAGTGCTATTGCGGTATGGTAAATAGTGTTCCTTACAATGCGTACATGACTACCAATATCGAGAACCGCGATGGCTATAACCAGGTTTTGTTCAGCACCTGGCGAGCATGAGGGGGTGGGCGAGAGTCCCGCAATCTGCGGTTCTCCTGGCTCAGGGAGACCCCAATCCCGCCACCACAGCACTCGGGGCTCACGAAACTGGCCGATGGGGTTTCGTGCTTCTCCCTGACTCAGAGTTCAATTTTCCCATCTTCATTTCCATCAAACACCATTTCGCCCTTTTCTCTCGTAGTGTGAAGTTAGAAACCGTTGTCAGCTCTATTGAAGCCATGAAGGCCCACCACAAACCTGACGATGACTATGACTACCTCTTTAAAATTGTGTTGGTGGGAGACTCTGGCGTAGGCAAGTCCAACCTGATCTCCCGTTTTACGAAAAATGAGTTCAATATGGAGTCGAAATCAACTATTGGAGTCGAGTTTGCCACACGAAGTATCGAGGTGCGGACATGTGCATCTCAGAACCATGTTTTCAGGCCCATGTGTCTAACGTTAACTCGCCAGTACTCTTCGATAGCACTGGGTTTCACGGTGTATGATCCCTGTGCATTTTCTTGAACCAGGTGGATGGCAAAACCGTCAAGGCTCAAATATGGGACATGGCGGGGCAAGAGCGCTACAGGGCCATCACGAGCGCATATTATCGGGGGGCCGTCGGCGCCCTGCTTGTCTACGACATCACTCGCCAAGTGACTTTCGACAATGTTGAGCGGTGGCTGAAGGAGCTTCGGGACCATGGCGACCAGAGCATTATTATTACTCTGGTCGGCAACAAATGCGATCTTAAGCATCTCCGCAAGGTGGCCATGGACAAGTCTCAAGGCTTCGCTGGTAAGCATTTGTTCGTTGGTCGCTCTGCTGGCGTTCCTCCTGTACCACCGCCCCTCGCAAGCCACATAAGCAGCTTCCTTATCATTTTCCCCTGTGTACTATCGTCATGCTCTATCGCTCTCGTTCAACCGTCAGTACATTCTTGTTTACTCTGGGCTGTTTTTTTAATGCACCGTCCCCTCTTCCTCCTCTCACATCCTTTCGATACACACTTTCGCGAGCTCATACTGGTAAAAGCAAAACGTTTTTCCGTAGCATATCCTGTCTAATAGTGATTATCTGATTCTCGCCCCTTGTACACTGAATCGTTTGGGTCTATGACGTGCATCTCGTGCTATTGTGGTTTGACAGAGAAGGAGGGGTTTTTTTTCATAGAAACATCTGCGTTGGACGCCACCAATGTCGAAGATGCTTTCACACAGATCTTGACGGAGATCTACTGGATGATGACGAAGAGAGCATTGGCGCCAGACGAAGATAGTTATCAGCCGGGACGGGGTCAAACCATTGACATAAATGCACCTCAGCCTGAGAAGAAGGTTGATAGCTCATGCTGTGGTTGACACATGCTGCTTGTAAGCTAGCTATGCTGCAATTTTTTATTGTGGAAGCTGCTGATGCTCAGCACTAGCACAAAATTCTGATAAAGAGTTGCCACATGGTTCATTTTATATCTCACTACAAGCATCCCTGCATACATGATGAGGCATGGTGTCTCAGAAATAAAATGCAACGGAATGGTTTGGGACTAACAAGATGGGATACAAGTACTCAACCCTAAAAAAGGTTGTACTCCCTAGAGTGCTACTCACTGTAGCCTAATAACCTATAATAACATTTGACACACCCCCATAGGCTAAGTGAGGGGCATCAAAGCAAGCAGGGTGAACAAACAGTCACAAGCAGGGCTTCGTTTTGGATTTGGCCTACTCACGATTGGCAGTGTCTCAAGAACAGAGTGCAACGGAATGAATGAACTAGCAAAGTAGGCGGATCTCCTCATGTAGGCGGCCCTGGAGAAACGCAGTGGAGAAGTCAAGGGAGTGCATTTCGTAGTCTCGCTGTGCTGCTATGTGCAGTAACACCCGAAGAGTAGTCATCTTCGGGGTCGGAGCGAAGGTCTGGAAGAAGTCAAATCCCTCACGCTGACTGAAACCCCTAGCCACGTAGCGCGCCTTGAACACAGGCGGTAAACCGGGCGGCCACTTCACCTTGAAGAGCCACATGCCATCGACAACGTTCGCCCTGGGAGGGGGAACTGCGTCAACGTACGTGCCTGTGGATCTCCAACACGCTAACTCTGCATCCATAGCCGCTTTCCACTGAGAGGCCCACTTCCCTGACACTGCCTCACGGTACGTGCGAGGTGTTGGTATGTCAAGGGCGTCGGGGTCTCCCTCAAGGGAAAGCAGCATGGCGCAGAGAGAGGGGGAAGCGGCTACTATGAACTCCAGCTCAAACTGCCTGTCCTCTAGGACGTCACAGCCAAGGGCAGACTCACCCCCGACGGACAGAGGACGGGAAGGTGGAGCAGCCACCACACGCGTGGCGTAGTCAAGACGGCGGGTGGAAGCAAAGTCAGCGACAGCGGCAGTAAGAGCCGAGACAGACGACGGAGAAGCACGAGGGTCGGTGACAAGAGAGGCGAGAACACGGGAGACAACAGGGCGAGCAGCGCAGTAGTAGTCAGTGATAGGGTGAGAGGAAACGGTGAGAGACGACTCAGGAGGTGAGGGGAGAACAGACACAGGCGGAGAACGACGAGGAGGAGAACGAAACAAGACAGTGCGCAGGTCGGCAAGAGGAGACGAGGGCCGAGCACGCGGAGGACAACGACTGGTCCAGACGTGCGGGACAACAGGAGAAGACGACCGTGACTGAGGAGGAGAGAAAACAGCCGGAGTCGAGTCCGGAGGAGGAAACGTAGGACCGCACGCACTAGGTGACTGGGAGTGGACAGGAGGAGAGGAAGGAAGACCAAGGGCCCGAAGGCCACTCACTGGAGGGAACAGCTGCTGCAACAGTGGCGGGTGTGTCGTCTGCTGTTGCTGCTTCTGATGCTGCTGCGGCTGCTGCTGCTGCTGCTGCTGCTGCTGCTGCTGCTGCTGCTGCTGCTGCTGCTGCTGCTGCTGCTGGTGCTGGTGCTGGTGCTGGTCCAACTGTTGCAGCTCCTGCCGCTCCTGCTCCACCCGCTCCTGCTCCTCGCGCTCAAGCCGGTGAAGAGCCTGGAAACTTGTGTCGTAGCGGTGAGGAGGCGTAGTAGGCGTGCCTCCAGCTCCTGTCTCCTCAGTACAAGCTCATACAGTGCCAGCACCTCCTGCTCCAGCATCCCCACAACTAGCGCCAGCAACGCCAGCACCTCCAGCTCCAGCACCCCCAGAACTAGCGCCACCTGCACCAGCACCTCCAGCTCCAGCACCCCCAGAATTAGCGCCACCTGCGCCAGCACCTCCAGCTCCAGCACCCCCAGAACTAGCACCTCTAGTGCCAGAACCTCCATCTCCAGCACCCCTAGAGCTAGCGCCACCTGCGCCAGCACCTCCAGCTCCAGCACCCCTCGAACGAGCACCCCCAGACCGAGTACCGCCAGTGGCTGCACCTCCAGCTCCAACACCAACCGAGTCCACAGTAACCTGTCGCGGAAGTGCCGAAGGCTGCTGAGGGGACTGTGAGGAGGACTGCGGGGAGGGAGACGCTACCTGACGCGCGACCGAGGGTAGAAGGGTAGCGTAAGACACACCTGACGGGGCAGGACCAGGGGGGGTGGGAGGACTGGAGGAGCGGGAGCAGGGGGGAGAGAGGGTGCGAGGAAGAGGGGGGGAGGGGGAACCGGGAGACCTCGACAGGGGTACCGGGTGTAGTAGGACACAGACTTGTCAAACTGGACGTCACGAGAGTCGAGAAACTGGTGGAGGGGCGGGTGGTAAAAGGAGTAGTCGGGAGAGCCCACCGGGAAACCAAGGAAGACACAGGGGATGGCGCGAGCCGAGAGCTTGTCCGCAGAGGTGTCGCGGACAAGCGCAAGGTATCCCTAGACGTGAAAGGCCGACCCAACACCAGGGGACCCAGTCCAAAGACTGGTCGGTGAAACCTCTGGCCGCGAGACACGCGGCTGGAGGTTCAGCTGGTGCGCGGCGTAGCGCAGCGCGTAGGGCCACAGAAAATGGGGCGCACGGGCATGGATCATGGACGTGCGGGCGATGTCCATGACCAAGCCAATGCGGTGCTCAGCAACCCCATTCTGCTGTGGGGACTCCGGCAGCGTCCAGGACTGTCGGATGCCCTGCTCGCCGCAAAACCCGGCAAGGAAGCCGGAGCGAAACTCACCCCCACGGTCGGAGCGGAGACAACGGACACGACTACCACGAGTGCCCTCAGTGGCCAGAAGCCACCGGATCAGCGTAGAAGTCACCTCGGACTTCTTCGCGAGAGGAAACACCGTGGTGTACCTGGAGTAGTCGTCAACGACCACTAGAAAGTAGCGCTCCCTCTCAGGTCCCAGCGTGGGGGCAGGGTCCCAGACGTCCAAGTGGAGAGTCTGGAAGGGAGCAGTGGCCGGACGAAGAGAGGAGGAGTGCGGAGTGGCGCGCAGGCGGCCGGTGACACAAGGAGTGCAAGGTGGAGCAAGCGAGGGAGGGAGCGACGAAAAGACGCACGGGAGACCTGAGACAAGACTGTGACTAGCCATGCTGCGGAGGCGGGGGGTCGACGGGTGGCCAAGATGGTGGTGCCACAAGACGGTCGGGTGGGCGAGAGACCGACAGGAGCAAGACGCAGCAACCTGACGAGACGCAGCAACCTGACTAGACACAGCAACCGGAGCGGACGCAGTAACCTGACCGGACTCTGCTACATGGGGAGACGCAGTCACCTGACCGGACTCTGCTACCTGGGAGGACGTAGTGTGCAGAACAAAGAGACCTGAGTGGGGCTCCCTGGTGAACGTGGCAAGAAGTGGCCTGGTGGAAGCGTCAGTACAGATCGCCGTCCTCCCGTGCGCAGGAAAAGTGACTGTGATCCCACTGTCCTGAAGGTATCCAACACCCACCAAGTTCCGAGAGAACGAGGGGATGTAGAGACCGGTGAGGAAACCAGAAGGGACAGCCGGGCACGGGAGAGTGGTCGAGCTGCGAACGACTGCTGGTCCTGAACTAGGATCAGCCAGGGCAACTGGGACTGGAGCCGAAAGAGGTGTGACAGTGGTGTGGTCACGGAAGAAGCACTGCGACGCGCCTGAGTCCAGCGTGAAGGAGAGCGACGCGACAGCAGTCGTCACGGCTGGACTAGTGACTACACAAGTACCTACACAAAAAGCACAAGCACCTACACTAGCAACAGGCAAAGAGCCTAAGTTGGGTACACGCAAGCCAAGAGACCCATACGTGACATAATAAACAGCATCCATAGACATAGCAAATACAAGGTAACCACTACGAGACAGACCGGGCCAGATCGGTGGCCTCGACTCAGACCCAAAACGCTCACGGTAAAGGTCGTCGAGGCACCTGTAGCAGCGGTGTGCAGAGTGGTCAGGACGCCAGCAGGTAGTGCCAGCACCAGGGACAGTCAGGATCTGGTACTGGCAGGGGCCGACGTCGCGACCACCGCGACGAGCCCCCCAGCTGGATGGGCCACTGCTGCAGCCAACGCTACCCGAACCACCAGGCCCCCACGGCTGCTGAGGGCGCCACTGCTGCTGAGGGCGCCACTGCTGCTGAGGGCGCCACTGCTGCTGAGGGTGCCACTGCTGCTGAGGGCGCCACTGCTGCTGAGGTTCCCACTGCTGAAACTGCCGCTGCTGCTGTCTCTGCTGCTGGAGAACTCTAGTGGACGCCATGGTGAAACTAGGCGAGGAATGGCCGGAGCATGGAGCAAACTGAGCTAGAAGCGACTGGAGCAGGAACGGCTGGAGTGAGACACGACCGGAGCTACAAACGGCAGGCTAGAAACTACGGGCTCGAGGAGCGGCTGGAGCGAGGAGCGAGAACAACTAGGAGCGCTAGTTGAAACTAGGCGAGGAGTAGCGGCCTCCAGCCGCGGCGAAACGGTGAACCCAGTGAAGGAACGGTAGAGAATGGGAAAACCGACGGTGAGAAAACCCGAGAACGGCCTGCTACGGGCCGTGGCGCGCTAGAGGTGCCAGCCGCTGCGAGAGGTGCCAGTGGGCGGCTAGAAGGAGGTGTGGGCGGCTAGGAGGAGGTGTGGGCGGCTGGGAGGAGGTGTGGGCGGCTAGGAGGAGGTGTGGGCGGCTAGGAGGAGGTGTGGGCGGCTAGGAGGAGGTGTGGGCGGCTAGGAGGAGTTGTGGGCGGTTAGGAGGAGGTGTGGGCGGCTAGGAAGGTACGTGAGGTGCTGGGGCGCGCATGTCTGGCCAGGGGCGCGCGCTGCTATGCCCGGGTGGCGCGCGCTGCTCTGCTAGGGCGCGCGCTGCCCTGTACGTGGGCGCGCGCTGCACTGCAGGGGCGCGCGTTGCTCTGCACGGGTGACGCGACGGGCTGAGGCAGGGCGCACGGGCGACGCGACGGGCTGGGGCAGGGCGCACGGGCTACGCGACAGGCTAGGGTAG